TCCCCCCTCCCCCCGTTTAATCTCTCTATTCCTTTCGTTGCAATACCTTATAATCCACTTATGGTGAGAACATTAAAGACATGTTAGCACAATATGATGAGGTAGGTCGCGACATAATGCAGTATGAGATGAAGTTAGGCTGGGGAAAGAGTGTACCAATTCCGCCTTACCCTATTTATATTCCGCCCGCTTTGATGGACATCACGCAGCCACCACCTCAGTCTGGTCTTCCGTTTAATGCTCAACCGCATCGTCGCGACAGACACAAGGTACACGAAATAAAGCAATTGAGAAGCGTCATTAATAAAATGCTCCAGTATAAACGTTCAAACGATTTCGTTTTCTTCTTACTTGACGTTACCCTCGAGAATGATCACGAATGATTCCGAATATCTATTTATGCATATATATATATATATATATCTCCGCTTCTATTTCTTTTTATTATACACAAATACGTGTGTCGGTCGTTGTCGCAGGATTTGAAAAGGCATCTTTTTGCACTAAAAAGTAATATAAGGAAGGTTTGACGAAACACACTTCTCGTTTGATCTCGATTGATTCAGCGTCCTCGAGTTGAATCGGCTTTGTTACATCTAACACGCATATATCGAATAAATTGCTCTCTCTTTCTCTCTCTCTCTCTCTCTCTCTTTCTCTCTATCTCTGTCTCTCACAGTAGCTTAACGAAAACGTATATGTGGTCTTGCGATAATTCTCGTATCCTTGCTTGCCGTGCGGTGATCGATGAAACGATACTTCAAGATGATTGATAACAAAATTGTCATAATAACATTTTCTTGCTAATTTACGTTGGAATCGTATAACCATTTTTGAAACATAATCTCAGATACCACGTATCCACAACATCCAGACCGCGGACCCGCAGGAAAAGGAAAACTTTGAAAAGGTAAAAATGATTATCCCTATGTTAGAACAATTTATTCTATCCTTGGAACAGTAGTATGTATATTACGTTGTTGACGCGCACGCGATAAGTCATTTACCACCCGACGTTTGCTAGATTAGATTCGATTAGATTATCTAGTCT